ATATCATTGTTCGGATGTGGAACTTGGAACACGACCGATGCCAAGGGGTAATAGTTAGAGGAACTAGTCGTTGAAATTTACAAACAACAGTTTACTAGAAAAGATATTGAAGTACAAATTAGTTTTCATAATTGGTAACTAAGGATAATGCAACATATAAAAACTGCATATTATGTGTTTTTTATACATTCATATACTATATTAAGGGACACAACTAATGTGAAATTTTCAAAAAATCGAATTTTCAATTTTTCCATATTTCGATAGGTTATACCTTTAAAAATAACATACTTAAATTTTAAATAGATTATATAGTTTAACGATCATTTTAATCTTTAAATGCGTTTTTCTCGAAAGGGCATTTTCCGAATTTGCTGCAGCAATTACTCAAAACCAAATGATCCGATCACTATCAATTTTCTTTTACATATTCTATATAGAGTTCTCCGTAAAATGAACAATCGATTTTTTTATCGGATCAAAAATCGACTTTTGGCAGTCCAAAAACGACCAAAATTTTGGGTAAAATTAGACTTTTTTTTAAAAAACGCCGTCATTTTGTCAATTTTTTATCGTAGTTCATTTAATAGACAATATATCTAGTTTAACGAAAAAATTGTTTTTTTAATTTCATCCACGTAGAAGGCCGGAATCACTGCAGCAGTGAAGGGTCTTTTTTTTTGTCGCGCCGTTGGAGATCGACGATAACTTAAAAAATATTTAATTTTTTTCTTCAAAAATTTTACTATATATTCATAAAACATGTATAAATATATTCCTAAAATTTTGAAATGATTGATAAAGTAGTTTTTTTAATATAAATTTCCAAATATCACCTTTTTAGGCGGTTACACTAATTGTGCCTCTTAACTTGAGATTTGTAAGTGCATGCCACGAACATTTCGGCATACCTTAAAAAAATGGATGTGTGTGTGTATATATGGATACAATTTTTCGTCTACCTTTTCGGGCGTACGGATCAACCGATTTGAATGATTAAAAAAATATTCGATTCTTATTGACAGAGAGATGCCCTGATTAGTTTTTGGCAAAGGCAGCTCCAGTCATTTCAGAAATACGGAAAAAGAGTGCAGAAAACAGAAATTAAGTTTTTGAGAGAACGGAGCATCCAATTTGAATGACACAAAAAAAAGTTAATAAGTAAGGATGGGGAGACATGGTTATTAGATTTTGCAAAGGCAGGTGTAATTGTTTCGCAGATATGGAGCTAAGTACGCAAAAATATTAAGTTTTTGAGAGAACTAAGCATCCGATTTGAATTATTTTGCTAAATTAACTAAATTATGAAATTAGTTGTTATATTAATCTTCCTGTATCAATAACTGATTTTTTATAGAATTGCTGACGTATATAATCTTCTACAGTGATATTAGAATTTAAGATGAAATATGTCTTGCCATAAAAATATGTGAATATAACAACAATGAATAATAAAATACAAACTTAAGTTTCTTGAACAGCACTATTTTTAACTTCCCGTAGGGTAAGTTATAGTAATCGCAAAAAAATCGAAAATGAAAATTTTTATATATCTTTACGTTTCAGAGGTTTCTGAACATTTTGGCATACCTTAGAAAAAATGGATGTATGTGGTGTGTGTGTGTGTGTGTGTATGTGTGTGTATGTGTGTGTGTATGTGTGTGTGTATGTGTGTGTGTATGTATGTACGTGTGTGTATGTATGTGCGGATACAAATTTTCGTCGACGATTTCGGGAACACGGATCAACCGATTTGAATAATTCAAAAAACATTCGATTCGTATTGATAAGGAGACGTGCTGATTAGTTTTTGGCGAAGGCAGGTCTAGCCGTTCCGGAGATACGGGGCAAAAAGTGCCGAAAACGGTAACTCAGTTTCTAAGAGAACGGAGCGTCCGATTTAATAATTCAAAAAACATTTTACTTGTATTGACAAGATAAAGAATTGATCAAATTTTCATAAAGGCAGGTCTAGCGGTTTCGGAGATCTAAGGAAAAAAGTAAAAAAAATGCCATTTGGCGGTCAAAAATGATCATTAGACATATGCACATCGAATTTTCAGATATATTTATAGAGATTTTAACAATAAGTATAAATTTGTTTATTTTTCTATGGGTTCCGTATCAATGTTTACCCGCTAGACAGCGACGACGCCGCGCTTACGCGCTTTATATTTGTATCTATGCAGTTAAAGCAGTACGATTGCTTTGAAAAACAAGTTCAGATTTTCCAAAATATGTCAAAATGAAGAAAAACATTTTTTTTTTCAAAAAAAAAATTTTTTTTAAAAAAATTTTTAAAAAAAATTTTTTCAAAAAAAAGTAATTTTTTGTCCAATTTATAGTTTCTCAAAAATCTTATTTTTTCGAAGTAAATTTTTTTCAAAAATGTTAATCGTTTTTACAAAAAATAATAATTTTTGGTACGGGAAGTTCCAGCAATTTGCCTTAAGGCACGATGCCCTAATTGCCTTAAGACAGAATTCCACTTACAGCTAGTTTATTAGGTGTTTGATTTGTTTTTGTACTATATTTCTTTACTGAAGCGATATATTGCGTTTTTGTTTTTCATTAACTCTAAATTTCGACGACATAACCTCTAACGTAATTTAGGTTGACATCTGACTTTTGTTGTGTTGACAGATAGCAAGTATAGATATCTAGATACACGTGACAAGACTTTCTCGACCAATCACATGAACTTGTTTCGAATAACCACCAATGGCAAATCAGTATTTGTGGCGTAACGCATTTCAGTTGCATTTTATATAAAAAGTTCGAAATTAGAACAGAATTTTTAACCAAACCGTAGGCAAATATTTTGTTAACGAGTTGCATCAAATATTTAAAAAAAATCCCTAATAATATTAACATGCAATGTTCTAAAAAATTGACAACAAGGATTCCAAAATATTAGTACTTTTTTGTGAAAACTACTTTCACTAACATGTTCTTTAATCCTATTTTTTATTATAGCCGTCGGTGTTGAGCTTTATCTAAATTTTGATGAGTATTTTCCAGCTAAAGCTGCATATTGTTGAAGAAATATTCAAAACAGAGACCCCAGAGACGGAAACAAATTGCATTAGTTGGCAAAGACGATAGAATTTCGTTGGCGGGTTAGACTGCGTTTTATCCTTCATTATTCCGCATTAGAGAGAGGATGTTTGCAAATTAATTTGAAGAATTACTTTATAAAGCGGATACTAGACAACCAACGTCTTAGAGAGATCATCACACAGAAAGACGATGTAGATTTACCTCGAAACGAATATAAATATGAGTATATTTTATAACTTCCTGAAAGCGAAGTTTAAGTTTTCATACAAAAATCCGATTTGCTAATTTTATGTTTTCTCGACGTTTCAAGCTATTCAGAATCGAATGAGACCAAATTTGGAAAAAGTATATGTGTATATGCGTGTGTGTGAACAGATTTTTGTCGACGTTTTCTCATAAATGGCTGCTAACTACGTTCAGCCAAGCCATTGCTTTGTAAATAGCAGAAAAGTGAAATAATTTTTGTCTATGTTTCAGCCCGCAATTCTAAACTGCTTTTAAAAATTCAAAAACCTTTCGAAAGATTTTTAAATTGAGAAGCCATTTTTTGTCATCAGCGGAAAAGTCTACAAAACTTATGTAGTTGTGTAAAAAATGTTACCATTAATTTAAATCATTAAATAATATCAAGGACTACATACATGATATTCGTAATCGTGCAGTTAAAAATTTTATGTAAATATCTAAATCTCAAATTCGATTGATTAAGACAATTATTGAACATTTTGGGAAGTTCATGCAACTTGTCTTAAGGCAAAATGCCACTTTCAACTAGATTGTCCACATTTTAAACCACAATCTTAAATCGGTTTTATAGATTTAAAAACTATTCGAAAGATATTTATATTTATAATTTTTTGTCATATTTATATTTATATTTATACGAAACAATTATACAATTATAGATATTAATGCTACATAACTTAAATTAATAGATATTAATACAAACTCTATTAAATGAAATATAATTTAAAAAACAAATGTTCACTCATAACCTTATTCTAAGTTTCGCCTTTTATATGAAAAATTTTTTTAAAAAATACACA